ACAAACTAGAGTAAAAGTCATGTTATTTGTAATACCCCAAGAGGTATAAAAAGACTTGGTTTTAGACCAAGTCAGAAAAAAATCATGCTCATAACAATCTTTTAATTATTGATCTAATAATTAATACTTCCTAACACATTGTAATAATAATATTACTATTGCTAATAAAACACATAACATATTTTACCCTAACAATAATAATCTCTAATTAATTAATAAACCAAAAAGGGGAAACCTTTGCTACTGATAGCAAGTAACCAACATTCTAATTATTGAGAAACATCTCAAGGGGACGCCTTTGGGATATAATTACACATATAAAACCTAGAGACCCTTTTATCTGAAAAGATAAAAATTATTTTTATTAAACTTTGACTGTAAGTCAGCAGGTAGGCTGTGTGTTGAACTATAAATAACCTATTAATTAGGAAACTCGGATTGCACACTTGCAGCATTAATTGTTATTGAATTGATTCATGACACTAACATATTACTGTCATTTTTACATGCAGGATTATGTTGAAGTTCTAAAAAAATTTTATTAACAAAATCAACCTATGCCACTACATTTTATAAAAAGGTTGATTTTCCATATAGTCTAAAGAAACAGGTGGAGGAAGCCTTGTTTAATGCATTAAGATCTATTGTATCTGAAAATGGTTAAGGTGCTATAATTGCTCAAAGACTACTTGCTCATTTTAGCAATATTGTCAACTCCCCCATTGTACTACACTTTTGGGATTCCATTCATGTTTGAGAAGAAAAAAATAGCACTCAAACTGCTCAAGTTATATTACAAGAAAAAGAAGTCAGTTATCTACATTCTAAACAAGATTAGTAAAGTTATTATTATTAACTTGTTTTTTGCAAACTATCTAGGAACAAAATGCTTGTCAAATTAGGACTAATTTGTTGGATGAGCATATTCAAGTATTGGCAAGAAAAAGACACAATTTGAATTTGAATGATTTTGAAGAAGGATTATCAACTCCACCAAAAAAGTTAGTATATATTTTAAATCTGAATGGCAAAAACATCTTTTAACCATTTGGTTACCTTTTAGTGTTCCATGTCACAATCCAAAAAAGGAAACCAAAGTGGTCTCAAAGGTGGTTGTAACCAGGTGTCGCAAACCATTTTTATATATTGCAAATATGGTTGCAACCATCACCAAGAATTGCAACCAGCATCTATATTACCTTTGGGTCTATAGATCAGGGCCACTGATATAACAGGAGTGGGAAAAAATAACGATTCATCATCCAGTTTTGGAGTATTACCTAGTGATGAAGAAAGTTTTTCTGTTCCACCTACAAATGTTTTCTCTAATCAAGAACAACATGAAGAACAACATGAAAATGAAAATACTTATATAAATGATATTCAGTCATCTCATGAGGTAGGAACATTTATTTGTACAACTGTAATATGATGCTGTACTTCATCTGATCTATGTTTTACTTTACAGAATACAACAGATGAACTCTATAAAATAATTGAAAAAATAAATAAATCTGATTATTGTCTCTTTCAGTTATCAGATCATTAATTTATCTGACTGAAATGCTTCAAGCCCTGTACAAAAAATATTAACAAAAGCTGATAAACAGGTATTAAAAACAATTTGGGACTCAGTATGTGTTTTCTGATTGTACACTGATACTTCAAATTTAAATTTGAGAGGTACTAATATTATTATTTACTCTCCTTAGTTAGAGCCATCGAAAGAAAATCACAAGACAATCTGCCAGGAGAAATGGAATGCAGTCATAAAACCTCTTGTGAAAAAGTATCAAAAAAACTTAGTGCCAAAATCTGTTTTTGACAATTTTCCTTTGGATCTTACAATTGAAGAAATTACTGAGAGACCGTATACAGGAACATTCAACTATAGAGAACATCACAACTCATTATGGGTTCAAGATCTATACAAGCAATTGTATGTAATAAGAGTGTAAGTATGTATTGATCACAAAGAAGATAGAAGAATAAATATTGATCCAGTTAGAGATTGATAAAAAATATATATTTTTAAGTTCATTAATTGCAGATTGTGTTTTCCATCATCATTAACAAATATCATTTCACTATCACATCTAAAGTGTTAATTATTGGTATATATAAGCATATTCAAAAAGTGATAAAAAACAGATATCTAATTACAAAATAATTGGTTCTATGCAATACTTTTGCTTCTTTTCCTTTATTGTCATGCACTGCTTCATTTATTATTAGAATAAATATTAAATATAAAAAAATTAAAATTTATTAATTATTAAAGCAAAATAATTTTTTATATAATTCATAAAATACAGTGCAGTGAAAAAAGTTTGAGAACAAAATGCCTAAAATATAAATTAATTTAGACATTTAGACAATCATGGTCTCAATTGTCTAAAATGCTAAAATTGAATTTTTTATTGGATAATTTTACTGAACTTTGTGGATTTTGTGTATATACACGCAACTTTTAGTTGTATTTAAAGCAAATAATTACTATTTATATTAATTTAGACATTTAGACATTTTTGTCTAAATACTATTTTGACCTTAGACAACCCCAAAAACAATTTAGATGCCCATCTATACTTATACCGAAAGATTTTGACTGAAAATCTATTTGACAATGCAACCAATGTCATGGGAAACTGTTGGATCTTGTTGATATAGAGATGGAGATCTTTTATGTAATTATAGCATCCAGCAATTGGTTCATGAAACTACTTCATTGGACAATTTGCGGTCTCCAAAATTAAACATGTCGTGTAACGTTTCAAAAAAAGCATTGGAAGATTGGAATTGGCTTCCAATCCTTCAATCTTCCAATGTAATTATTGGTCATTAATTTATCACGTGGTTAATTTTTGATTGGACCATAATATTGATGACGTATAAGCCTTCCCAATCTTCCGATGCCCTTTGGAATTGGGAAGATTGGAAGTTCCAATGACTTCCAAGTCTTTTGATCAAATTTGTATGTTTACATAATACTATCCCATAACATGTGAAATATCACTGGTGAAAATATTAGGCCTTGTTCGCTTAATAAAAAATGGGGAAACGTGCCCTGGATATTTTCTTTTAGTATTGGAATAAAAATTAATAAATTGATCTATACACCCTATTTTTATTATTACACGAAATAAAATTTTCTAAATTTGGATAATAATAATAAAATTTTTGGGGGGTCAATTTTCCTTTTTATGTGTAACAGCTTTTTTCTTCGGAGGTTGTATAGTTATAGCTCCATTTGAACGTTAGCGAGTATATAAAAAGAAAATTTAAATCTGTGTTACATAAATATTGATCATAAACTTAGTAATATACCTGCTGTATACCTGCTATGTAACAGGGTATATACTGAGATGTTAAAAACTTAGGCGGGAGACAGGGATGAAGATTTAGTTTTTGAGTTGAAACTCGGAGATTAGTTATTTTCAAAAATACATGAATTCAAGTTCATAAAATCATAAACTATGATTCTATCTGGAAAATCTGACAACCTTATCATCTGAAAATACATTCTCGTACCACATCAATTGATAATAATAATAATTGTTCTTTGATATGCATAGCATATAATCTGTTTATCTGCTTGAAAAAATTCTGTATGTCACAGTCCATATTGATTCGCATCATTAATAAAATGCTAAATGTTCCCATCAAATTGATTCGTACAATTATAAAAGGGCAAGATTCGGATTGATATGTTGATAACATAATGATAATAAGGGAATGTCCTTCACGTGACTCGGATTTTATTTTTGAAAAAAAAAAAGATTCTGCTATTTTATGTCAGAATATTCCCAAAACTTTTTAAGATTTTGTGGCGGGAACCTTCCTACATATAAAAGTAAAATACTTTATAAAAAAGCCTTTTTGACACACTGGTTTATATCATGTATTACCAAGTTACAATTGCTAAATGGTAATTGCTTTAAGTGTAACGGTTGGGTTTGGAAAATTTTTACGCCAAAGTTCTTTTATCTCACGACTAACAAGTTAATAAGAAATAACTCGTGTAACAAATACTAAATAATTCCGTGTTCTACAATAATTCTGCGATCTCGACAAGGAAGCTTATTATTATATAAATAAAGTAACATTAAAAGAAGTGTCTACTGATTTCTATTTCTTTTAATATTTTTATTAGTGAGCCGTTTTGATTTTTGATTTTGATTTATTTTTGGTTCTATTCTATTAATTATTTCATTAATTTATGTGTCTCTTATTGAGTTTTGTAATAAAGTAATAGGTCAAGGATAAATCAACAACTTGCGAAAAGGTTCACTGTTGGAAGTAAGCATTTTATTGAATTGAAAATATTGTAAATATTTTCTATTATTTATTATTATTATTATGGTTAAATTACCTTGAAACCTTTGTAGTACAAATGTTCGCCTGTTTGTTACACGCCATTCAATGCACATTTAATTTAAAATTCGTAAAGAAGTGCATAATAATGTTCTGATAAAGGAAGCAGAAAAGATTATTATTTTTCATTAGTTAAAAGAAATAAAAAACTTAATTAAATCATGTAACCTATAAATTGGCAATCCAAAAAAATTTAACAAGTGTAAATCAACAAAATACTTTGATGGATTTTGTGAAGGTTGTATTACTTTACAACCACAGAGTCTTTTTACCACTTGGACATCTGGAATTAACATAATCGATGATCTTGTTTAACAATGTCAAATGAAAATCATCTTTGCCAAATTATATTTTAGAATGGATACCTTACCATGATTTTGAAAAAGTAACAAAATTAAACCGAAGGAAGGTAAATTTATCCGCTACATGAAGAGGTTATATAATTGATTACAATGAATATAAAAAAGAGTTGGTTATTTTGATGCTCGAATCGTGATATTAAAATATTTAAACAATACAATCCAGAGAACATTGTTTGATGAGGTTAGTAACTCAAAAAGAAATAACAATGTATTATATAATGTTAATTGATTTTATTTTTATTTAGTAGCCTCATTGATCATATTGAATATTTCTTATAATATAATTCTTTTACGTGTGTGCGTGATTTTTAATTTGTATCATAATTCTTTATTCATTACATTAAACGTAGGCAGCCTACGATAAAATGTCTTGGATATAAGCCCCAACATCGCGAGTGACTCTTGTTATGTTTCCGTAGTATACCTTTAAAGTACATTTTACAGGCTCTACCACATAACTCTAAAGGTCTTTGAAGGATTGAGATTTTGTTTGATGCAACCAACACGTTTTATTAGTGTATTCCTCAGCCTGCACAAAGGGTACTCGCGAGATTTATGGAATGTGACCAGGTTAACATTTTCTTGCAGCCTTGGAATATATTTTTCTAAAACTACCATCGTTTTTGACCATGTCATGTATTTTAACCTCGGGAGCAAAATTACATGATAACAATTTTACACAAGATTACAAATTTTCTTGTATGGGTCGATGAAGACTACATCTTATTATTATACGCACATTTCATATTTGTTTTACCATGAATAGAACCCCTTATGCAAGCATAAATGATATAATCTACTTAAACCTCACCACTTTGGTTATATCCAGTCATGAAAATTCACACCCCTTGGATCAAATGGAATGATGCTAGCGTTTTTATTCTCTTCGACCACTGAAAATTTAGGACCTTGGTTATCATCAACCTTAATTTCAAAGGCTTAGGAATACATGAGTAGAATTTATCAAGATGATTCATGGTGGCGAAACGACAGTCATATTTTAATTCAGGTATTTTTTACTTGATTAATACTTTTGAGGAATGAATAATGACGACTTTCTCTCCCCAATCTGTTTAATTTCTCTCTTGAAGTTTTTCTTTTTGCGGCTGCTTCTCTAACACTACAAGGAGTGTCAAGAACCATTTGATATCAAGGTCTTTAAATTTTTCTTTATTGATAAAACATTCACTGCATGTTTAGCGAGCATTACATTTTAATAAGGTTTGGATTTACTCAGAAATAGGGTAAAGTATAATTTTTAAGAGCTTTCTCAAGTGAAAGATGAAATTACATCTTCTTAAAACTCTTCTATATGCCATCTGGTAAAGGGGAATATGATTTAAATCATGATTTACTGGTGATCAACACCAGTTTTCTTAGAGTGGCTTAAGAAGTTGATTGTAACGGAGAGTCCCCACACAGTCAGTCAACTGAGGAAGAAGATTTTGCATATAATTTTTAAAATTCTTTTAATAGATTTCTTTGTAATTAACAAAAAGTAAAATAAAGTGAATTTGTTTTTTTGTCGAAATAATTTTGACTTTTTGATTACTTTGGTAAAGATTTACTTGCATTTTTAATATTTTTAAATGTGATTTTTCACATGTAATCAACATATTTTGCTTTGATGTCGCGAAAATCAAAAAGTGAAAAACAAATAATGCAAGAAATCGATGCAATAAAAATGAATTTTGATTCTTGAAAACCATATTTAAAGAACAACAACAAAAATGGATACTGAATTTAATTTTTCTTTTTAAGTTTCTACAAAATTTCTTTAAATAAAAGATACGCTGCAAATGCTAGGTAAAAGTGCCAAGGTTGCTACATTATTATGATCGAAACTTCCAATTTTAATGTTAAGGTTGTATTTGTCTAAATTATATGCACCTGGAACAGAAAAAATTGTGTAGATCAATGCTTTGTATACGTTTTTCTTATCAATTGCGCAACGAAATTACTGTCAATCTTATACTAATACTGATACATTGCCTTACCACACGAATTTTCAGGCCTATAAAAAGAAATCAGAAAATTTTAATTAATTTGAGAATTATTATTATTTGTTACACGAGACATTATATATTTTTATTATATGTAGGCTTTTTTTTTAATTAATATATAAACAATATATAGATTTTTTTCTGTCCCACCAGTAATATCTTTTTATATGAATAATTATTTTATTTTTATTTTTATTTACAACTCACCTCACTCACTTTCTTTCTTTCTTCTTTACTAAATGAAAAATAAAATAAAATAATCGTATAAAGCAAATAAATTAACTATTAAAAGAGTCAGCAATAAAAAGCAAAAAAGCATTAATCTCAAAGAATAATAAGAATAACAATAATAGTATATTATAATAGTATAACAGTAAATATTATACATAATAGTTGTAATTGTATAAACTGCATATCAATACACACTCTCTTGAAAAATACATTTAAACAAAACTATTTAACGAAACTTTTAAACAAAACTATCGCAGATTATCTGTAAAAGTAACAACGTTTGCAAGAAACGCGCGAGTTGTAATAATAATAAAAATATGTCGTTGATTAAAAAAATTAAATCTCAGTATGAAATATGGAAGATTAACAAATACACGATTCGTAGGAATTCTATGACACCGGAATTCGAACAAAAAAATCCCAATTTTTACAAACAAAACTACGTTAACGGAGTTTATCTACACACGGACAGACACAAATCCAGTTCTTCATCTTCGTCTTCATCTTCGTCGTCTCAATCATCTCATAATAGTTATATAAAAAATATTTCTACGAGCAAAAGAAATAGCAGAGGTCGTAAAATTATTAGATGTAGCGAAACTTATAACATGAACTAAATTAATTAAAAAATTGGGGCATTTCGTATTATTTAGGGAATTAATTGGTTGATTTTGTTTATTTTGTAAATTTAAAAAAAGATTTTTATTATTATTATTATATTATTATTATTATTTATTTATTATTCATTATTATTTTATATATCATCCATTAATTACTATCAAATAATTATATATAAAATCACATGAAATTTAGATGCTTATTATCATTTATTTGTCTCTTTGAATCATTCATTCCTTACTTGATTTTTATTTTATTTTTCTTCATTTTTTTTTTCTCTAATTTTTTTTTTTTTTCAAAAAAAAAAATAACGATAAACTCAGTTTAAAAGATTCAACTGACGACGACCATTAAACATTATTAATATTAGTAATAAAAAAACGTCATACAAATGTTTTTGTAAAAACCCCATTTTCATTTAATATATACATGTGTCAAACAAACAATAAAAAAACAAAAATTCAGTTTAAAACAGCCTAACTATAATTTTTTTTTGGGTAAGAGTGATGCAAATCTCTCCCTAATATTCATTATAAATTCAAATTTGTTCAAGCATTTTCTTTTTTTCTTTTTTTCCTTCCCAAACATTCTTTTTAATTATTTAAAAATGGCACAAGTCATTAAAAGAAAAGCTAAAGAAATAGACCGTGGGCCCAATTTAAATAATGATAATGATAATATCAACATTAACGATATTAATAATGATAATGACAATTCAAAAGTCGTTTCTTCAAATAATGACACTTCTAATTCAGATGAACTCACTACAAATAAAAGGTCAAAAATAAGTAGTAGTGGTAGTAGTAACGAGAACGTTGGTACAACTCCAGTAAAAAATAAAAAATATATATCATCATCATTAGTAATAGATAAAACTCCAAATAAAAAAGATGACGAAGAAATTTTAAATGCTCTACGTAAAATACATCCGTTCAAAATCAACTCACCGCAAAAAGGAAAGCCAATCCGAATTTATTCGGATGGAATATTTGATTTATTCCATCTAGGTCATGCAGAGGCCCTCAAAAAGGCCAAAAATTATTTTTCGGACGTTTACCTATTAGTTGGCGGTAAGTTTATTTAAAATAGGGGAAGAAATATCAGAAATAGAGAAATTTTAAATTTTAAATAAATGTTTTGACTTGAATAATAGTATGCAACGACCACGACACCCACCAAAAGAAGGGGAAGACGGTCATGAACGAGGAGGAGCGTGCACAATCATTGATACATTGCCGGTGGGTTGATGAGGTTATTGTTAATGCGCCATGGGTTGTTACCCAAGAATTTATTGACCAGTACGACGTAAATATCTTTATCTTATTCTCTTTTTCATCATTTCTCTTAAATATTTTATTAATACATTATAATTTATTACCATTAATTATTGTTACTATTGTTATTTTATTTAGATCCATTATGTCGCACATGACGCAGAGCCATACCCATCAGGAGACTGTGATGACATCTATGGATTCATAAAGAGCCAAGGAAAATTTTTGCCAGTAACCCGTACAGAAGGTATCTCCACGTCGGACTTAATAACGAGGATTATCAAGGATTACGATGAGTTCCTCGAAAGAAACTTGGAAAGAGGCATTTCTCCTAGGGACCTAGGTTTAGGATATTTGAGGGTAAATGAAAATTACTGATAATCATAACTTTGATTATAATAAAACGAAAAATGTCACCAAGTATAATGCTATTATAATACTAATTATAGGAAAAGGAATATCTGATGAAAAAGTCCATTTCAAAAGTAACTTCAAATATACATCAGAATTGGCATGGGACCAAGGAAGAATTAAAAAATGATCTGGCTGAATTGAAAAACGATCTGGCACAGGTCTTTGCTTCGATGTTCAATGGCGAGGGTGTTATTGTAAGTTACTCGTTATATTTATCATCTGTTCTTTAAAATTTTATTTATTTATTTATTTATTTATTTATTTATTTAACACAAATAATAATTTATTTGTTTGTATCTTTTAACAGGATAAATTCCTTCGTCTTCGTAAGCCTCGTAGAACATTGAGCAATGGATCAGAAACAAATACCGAGGAAGATAGAAATGATCATAGTGCCTCGGATGAAGATAACCAAGATAATAATACAAGAAGAAGTGCTTCACCAGTCCGAAGGGTTATTGATTATATTACGGGGGAGTCACAATATGATGCATAATCATGTTATGGCTTTTTTATTTTTATTTTACACACATCTATTTTTTCATTATTTTATCTTTTATTTTTTATTTTTATTTTAATCATTAATTGCTTATCATTATTAATTAAATTAATTAAATTAAAATTATTAATATTTAAAAAAAATTATTTATATTAATATAATATTTTTTAGTACAGAATAAATAAAAAAAAAATTGTATATATATGTCTAATTTTGAAAAAGAGGGAAATAATAAATTAATACGCAAATTGGTTAGATTGATATCCATAAACGTATTCATCATCGTCTTCTTCTCCATAATAATTATAATAATCATCATCGGATGATGATGATGTCACATATTCTCTTTTAAGATTATTAAAGCCAAATTCTTCATTTGTTGGTAACCTTGAAGACAAATGCGAAGAAGAAGAAGACAGGAGTGAAGCATCAACTCTGTCATCATCATCATCATCGTTGTCGTCATCATCAATATCATCATAAATGGTATTAATGTTTTGTGTTTCCATTAACGCGTTACCATCACCATAATTACCATCGTCATCGTTATTAACTGATGGAGATGGATTTAATAAATTCAATAAAGTTTCAGAAAGCCAACCTAATATTCCTCCAACAGAAAATCCAAGTAATGCACCCATGCTGCAAAACAATATCAATGGATAAAGTGTTGACAGAATCCATTTAACTATAGAGTATGGTATATAGATAAATATATTGTATAATAACTGAAACGTATATATTACTGGAGTTAAACAGAAATAAATAATCTGATAAATAAAATTTATGATTTCAAATATTTCATTGAATATAAAAATAAGTAATGATATTATAAAGTTATAATTATTTTCATTTTTATTTCCTTGCTCTAAGGAAGTTGAATCACATTTTCTCTCATTGTTAACTGTTTGTATTTTGTAGGACGGAGAAGAAATTAATTCACCGGAACTTCCTGAGGTGAATAATGCCAATAAAATATAAAGTATTACAAGTAAAAAGAATAATGAAAAATAATTTATCGAAAAAGAATTTTTTGGATTCCTTTTATTATATTTTAATTTATACATTTTTCAATTCCCATTCATATATGTGGCAGGCATATTGATGTATTGCAGCATGTTCGCATGTTCATATATTAATATCAGATATGTATATATTAATATGTTTTTTTATTTACTTTTTCCAAGTTTAATTTGGTCACACAAAATTTCTTTCCTTAAAATAATAATAATATTATAAAAAATAAATAAATAATATTATTATTATTTTTGATTTCTTTAAAAAAAACCCCCCACCCAAAAGCTTGATCTTTAAAGAAGAAGGTCAGTGACATCTTTAACAGATGCGAGGCTTAAGTTTAGACGCTGATGATTTGGAGAATTCACAAGTTCTTCAATTACAACAACGAATTATAGAAGGTTAATAATAATTAACTAATAAAAATTTAATTGTTTTTAAAAAGAAAAAAAGGGAATTCATATTGATTATATTGTATATAAATATGTGTGTTTACAAAAGATCAAGATGAAGATTTAGATAGATTAGGTGCAGCGATCGGGCGTCAAAGAGAAATAGGATTAATGATTGGAGAAGAGTTAGAATATCATGTTTCATTATTGGAAGAAACTGATGTTCATATTGATAGTGTTGATGGAAAGTTAAATAATGCAAAAAAAAGCCTTTCAAAAATATCAAAAAAAGTTAAAGATAAAAGTAAGTATTTTTTCTTTTTTTTTTCCAAATTGAATTCATAAATTATATAATTGGAGTTATTAACCTATAATTTATTATTATTATTATTATTACCATTATTTTTATTTATTGGGGGAATAGAAACAATATGTTTAATGTTTACTATAGTAATATTATTTGTTATATTAATTGCTCTTATTTTCAAATAGATTTTATTTTTTTTTATTTTTAGTTTGTAATTTATTATTATATTAGAGAAATATCAATATTAATAATTTAAAATTGATTATCATGAATATTAATTTAAGATATCTCATCATTATCATTATAATTACCATCATAATCATCATAATCATCATCATATGATTATTATAACATTATCATCATCTAAATGGCTCCAACAGAATATCTCTACACGAAATATTTCTTTCCTTTGATAAATTCCCCAATTTCTTTTCTTTTATTCACACAACCAAAGATGAAAATATTCCACAAGTATTATATTAATATTAATTGATAATTCACATACGTACATGAAGATTCAAGGAGTTCTTCATTCGTCCAGGTAAAACTATTGGTCTAAATTAGATTGGCTTTTTGGAATCCTTATCTTTCGTCGACGTAATTTTTTTTGGTGAAATTTTTTCTTGATAATTTTTACACCTATAAACTTATATATTCTTTCATCATCAATCATCAACAATCAATCACCAATCGTCAATTCACTATCTAATACACCAATTCGTTATCCTACACATCAATTCGCAACAAAATATTGCTCAATTACTAATGATGTGAGCACTAGGACATTCATTCGCGTATCAACGAGGAATAAAAGAAAATCTATTCCCATTTTTATATGTGCCTTATATATTTATTGTTAAATTTCTTAAACCCTTGATAAATTTTCGCATCTAAAGGTTTTTAATCATGTTGTATGTGAAAATATAGTCTGTGAATTCGAGATTCAGAAACTCAAATCATAAGCATAGGACAAAATTTTATCTAACCATGTTATAAATGATATATTTTTTCAATATCAGCGTATAATTTTGACAAATCTTAGTCATTATTAATTGTTCTCTCATCATAATCAACAAGACTGTGTTAACGTGAGATAAAAGTTCCTATAGCCTCTTTAAATTTATTTTTGTTGTCATATAATATCCTTAAAAATAATTAGATCAAT